ATGTTAAGTCCTCGAAACATATGTTAGGACTTATGTAATAATTTGCTAACACTAGGAAGTAGACTTCCCCCACATTTAAGGTATCTATAGAAGGTCTATAACCTTGCCATACCTTAAACAATTACTCATTACAAGAGATGACATCTTGATTGTCTCATTTGATTAGCAAATTATGTTTCCATTCTTTGTAAGTAAATCTCATATCTCAAAAATAGATAAGCTACCCCCACAATTCTTCGATAATTGTGGTTAATTTCTAATGTTATTGTTAAATCGATCATGTTTTGTTCTTCAAAAAGTAGGAAACAACTAAAGATAGACCTTATGTATCTATCTTCCTAGGCCTTCATGCCTCACTAGCCATTATAGGAAAAGCACTTCTTGACTTTCATCCTTTCCATATTATGACTACCATGCATGACCATTCATATGCTTACTTAATAAGCATCATCATGTCTAATTTTTGCAAGATGCTCCACACATTTTCAATATTTCGTCTTTTTCTTTCCAAAAGACCCCCACACTTTAACTTATTGGTTGCCATGACATTTCCCTCTTCTTGGAAATGCAGACTTCTTTAAAGCAGCATGAAAGTATGTACACTTTTATTGAGGTCCACACGCTAACTATCCAAACACTGACGTTGTTTCTCGTTTAAATAATTTCAAGACTTAATCTTCTCTCAATCATGGCCTCTTTGTATGTCTATCTTCTAAACCAAATTCCAGTGCCTTTTCATCAGATGATGCCAAGCGGTGCATCATCTCAACTACCCCAAAGACACAATTCGGTGAAAGAGGAAAGACATCTTTTGGTGGTAATAAAAGGAAATCCTTAAAACATAGCTGCATTCAAATCCAGTGCTAACATTTACAAGGCATATCATTTTAATCCACTAATATTTCTTTAGGAAATATCGGGCACAACCAAACATCGAATTGCTCTACATTTGTTCATGAATATATTTGGGAAAAATCATCGTTCATGCTATCATCAGTCTCAACCAATTGGTTGGAATAGAGACCACGTAATTCATTTCCATTGAAACGTATCATGATTTACACCTCTTCATATAGAGTTGTAACTTTCAGATTGCAAAATCTGAAAGAAAACCTATATCCAAATTGCCACATAACTTTCTTAATTTAATTACGGTCGTGGAAGTCATGATGCCCTTCCAACGTTTAGCAAAGAGGTAGCCCTTTCCCTTTATTCATTTGTTGGGTATAAAAGGATGTCATCTCCAGAGACACGGCAGACGGCAAAACACACCAAGCATATAACTGACACAAGGAAAACAGTTTTCTAAAAATTTGGAACTCCACTTTACCCCAAACAGCACCACGAGTTTGCATACTGATCATTGTGTCAATTCCAATGTTTCTTCAATTCACCACCAGTCCCTTCACTGGCTCTTGATCTTTCTCTATTTTGTATACTGAATATACAACAAGCAACATGCATTCTAATCTAACGCCAGACTCAGCAACGAATACTCATTCTTTTTTTCTTTTTTGTTTTTTTATTTCTCTGTAAAGAACACTCTGGGCATCATTCTATATGACAAATTCAAAATTTAACGTGGTGGGAACTGGTAAAAAACATCATACCCTTTCACTATCAATCTCATACGCATGGTAGATTCATTTTATTGACAATAAGCAAAACATATGTCACACCAACATTTCGGCCTTTACTTTGATGAACTTTCTTCAACAACATTCGCCTTGGCTTCCATGCTCGAAACCAAGCTCTTCTCATTCTTTCTGTTATCTTCCTCAATTCTCAGCCTCACAATGAGATCCTCAAGGGTTATCTCCTTGCGTTTGTGCTTGAGATAACTCTTGAACTCTTTCCAAGAAAGTGGCAGTTTTTCTATAAAGGACGCCACTTGGAAAGACTCATTGATCACCATCCATTCAACATGAATGTCATGGATGATTTTCTAAAGATCTTCAGTTTGAGAGACAAGAGACTTGGAATCCACCATTTTGTAATCCAAAAATTTGCCCACGACAAATTTCTTTAAACCAGCATCCGCAGTTTTATATTTTTTCTCAAGTGATTCCCAAAGTTCCTTGGCTGTTTTGAATACCACATAGACATCATACAACGAATCATCTAATGCATTGAGAATATAGTTTTTGCAGAGGAAATCATTATGTTTCCCGGCATCAATGGCTGTTAAAGTTTCTGCAAAAAAAATATTCTCTCCATCTGCATAGGCTCAGTCTCGTAGTGAACAGGGTTCACGCGTAACCGTTCACTCCAGCCTTGATTTTAGGGGCGTGCCTGAAGAATCAGGTCAACGCACCATCCATGAGGAAGATAAGCAGCACAACTGTTCGTTGGAAGCAGGCTCCACCAATTCTCTAGTCCAGCTGTTGGAGGAAGCGGAGTGCGGACCACCCCAGAATTGCAGAGCGTCGAAGCTGCAGGCAGGAAGGCAACCCATCCAATTTGGAGACATACAACCGTTGCTCGATGAGCAGCTTAGAGACTTCAAAACAAAATGAAACTTGGAGAACGCACTACGCATGTAGGCGGCTATCGTGAATGTTTCACCATTCACAAACGAGATCGAGCAGAGACTACCTCCCCAGAGGTTCTCACATTGTTTGATGGATATTTGGACCCAGACCGGCACCTGAAGCTCTAACGAAGTGTCATGATACTTCCTTCACAAGCTGGACAAAGCCTTGATGCGCCATGACTTTGCACGGAGTAGTTCAAGATTGGTTCCATCGACAGTTTCGAACAACTCGCCTTCGTTTTCACGAAGGAATACTCATCCTGTCGAGTTATCAAGAATTGTCTGATCACCTCTTCAATGTGGTCAAGAAGCCCAAGGAGGCTATCAGGGAGTACATTCAGCGCTTCAAGACCAAGAAGGCCAAGATTGTCAACCACAACGAAACAGTCGTGTGAGCAACTTTCAAGCGAGGACTGCCAACATCATCCACTCCGCAGAGACATCACCATAAACCCAAAGCAAATCTTAGCTGAGGTATTTAACTTAGCAGAGCATCACATGCTTTGGAACGACAAAAAAGGGGCAGCTAAGGCGCCATATTCTACTAAGAAGTTGAAAAAAAAAATTAAACTAATTTGGACAAGAAATTAGCGAACCTAATGCTACTTATTGCTTATAAAATTGAAATCTTTTTCAGTTTCCTCGTCCAAGAACTAGGCTGCGCATCTTGAGACGCGTCCAAGAGGTTGCGCACGTCTTGAGACGGCAGTCGCGTTCTGACTTTTTTTTGCAAGAAAGAAACCTAGTGGAACCTTCTTGAAAGCGAATATCCTGAAATATCCCCACCAATAACACGTACCAAGACTGAAACTGAACTTTTGGCAAAGGGTAACTTTGTCCAATCACTTGAATAAAAACCTCCCCGAAACGGCGGCAGTTGCATGATACCGCGTCCCAGTAGGTTTGGTAGGTTTTTCTTGTTTACTTTGAATTAGTTCACAAGTCTGGCTTGCTTTTTTGATAGACAATTTCAACGTTCTCATCTTCTCTTTCTACCAACATTCCCAGAAAATACATCTCTGCTTATATATATAAGGAGTCTCCAAGTGTCTTACGGAAGACGTAATCAGGAACAATTTTCTCTCCAAGTTCCTCGAACAATAATCATCAGAAAATAAAAATCTGGTTTTGGTTTGAGAAAGTTTCTAGATTTGCGTCGTTTTGGCTGCGTAGTACGTCAGAGATCTTATTTAAATCCGATCAAAATCATGGGAGATTGCAGGCCATTGGGTTTCTTGCTGGGTTTGCCTTTTGCTTTGATCGCATTGGTCTTGTCTGTTCTCGGCGCTGTCATCTGGGTTTTCGGGTGAGTAGTAATTCTTTTTACGGGTTCTCTGTGATTCTGATTTTGTTGTTCTTGCCCTTCCTTCAACAAAGAAACTTTATACAGACGATTTGCATGCGCTGTTAACTATATATATATATATATGAGATTATTATTTAAATTTTGTTTGATGATTAATCTTACTTTTGCAGGACGGTGTTGAGTTGCTTGTGCCCTTGCTGCATTTGTTTCAGTGGATTAGCGAATCTTGCGGTTTCTCTTATCAAGCTTCCTGTCAAAATTATTACATGGTTTATTGACCAGATCCCTTGTTGATCATGTCTCTCACACTTATTGTACGTTTGTACATTTCTTTCTTTTTTACTTGTTGATTCTTTATCATTGTATTTTAAGATTTTATTAGATTCGAATAAAAACGTTTACATCATATGGAACACTTTATTCGACCAATCCGGGTCAAACTCACTGACATCGGCCACCGGCCACCGTCCACCTACACCCGGCTGCACGATCACTACTTCTGGCATCTCCTCGCGGTACCAAACCATAGCCCCCTTGCATAAGGGCTGGTTTGTTATTGTTGTGCTTTGAAAAAAAAAAACTATTTCTACTGTACTATGAGAATAAGCAGCTATAAAATAAAGCAGCAAAGTGTTTGGTAAACTTTTTTGTAAAAGTGCTTTTGAAAAGAAAAGAAAAAACAGTATTATAGTGTTTGGTAAACTTTTATATAAAACAGATGTGAAAAAAAGCCGGTTTTTCAAAACTGTGAAAAAAAGATGAAGCTAAATGTTTACCAAACAGAAAAAAAACTCCTAACTTTTTTTTATACCCATTTTTTTCAGAATCATCTCAGTACCAAACCATATCTAAATTTAACCTTTGAAAGTTTTTCCCGTATCTCCTTTCTAGAACGATCCTCTTGCAAGTAATTTATTAAATTACAGTATCCGAAAATCTCATTAACTAGGGCAATTTGGACAGCACCTTCTTCAACTTCTTTTCATTAGCAATACAATCTGAGCCTATATAAGATCAAGGAACTATTAATGGCTCTCTAAAAATCTAGTTATACGCTCCTCGTATAAGCGTATTTCTTTTTAAGGCGTTAATAACAATCCCCAAAAAATAATAGCAACAATCTTTTTTGGGGCACGATTCAAGTTACATTCGACGAAAAAATAAAGGAGAATGGGAAAATATTTATAAAAAATCCCTATCAAAATTTGCTTTGTTCTCAAACATTCTCTAACTGTTGCCACGATTCTAATTTACATTCTATGAATAAATACAAGAAAATGGGCAAATAATATAAATACCCAACCCTTGTCTTCAAAATTTTTTAATGATCACCGTCAAAATTTGCTTTCTTCTCGCACATTCTCTCTAACCGTTGCTCTTAAGAACATTTACAACTTACTCTTCACTGCGACACTTGTGGCTTATGTTTTGTTTCTTGGTGCTTTGAGGCTCTCACCAAATCTCTTATAGTATTGCATTTGCTGTATACACAGTAATGGAACGAAACTTAAAAAGTCGTCGTACGGAAAAAAGAAATAGAAAAGAGAAGGAATTGTTCGTTGAGAGGCATTAGGCATATGAAAAACAAACATAAGCGTAGTACTTATCCATACCTGGTCAGTTACAGATGCTGCGATCTTAGCCAGTGCTTTCTCAAAGTGAGATTCTTTTATCGTCCATGTAGATGCATCTGAAATCCTCTCAGGTAATGTCAATTTCTCTTCAAGAGCAGCCATAGCAGCCTCATTCATCTGCATCAATCGATATGTGAGAGACAATCCAAATCACATCTCCTCCCCCATTTTTCTTCCCCACCAATCCAAGAGAGGTCACGAAAACTCGACTCCAAATGAAATATTTAACTTAACGTCAAAAACAAAGAAAAGAATAGAATGCATATTTAAGCATAGACGAACCAGTGCAGCAAGATCAGCTCCACTGAAATTTTCACACAATTCCCTTTGTCCAATCTCACTCAGATCTACACTAGCATCAATAGGCTTCTTCCTCGCAAGTGCTTTTAAGATCAAACCACGCTCATCTTTTGTGGGTGGGGCGACATAAATAAGTTTACCGAACCTACCGGGCCGCAGAACAGCACGGTCCATTACATCGGGTCTGACAAAAGGTATGACACGTAAGAGGTGCAGAATGATATTCCTTTATATCAACTAAAACTGAAGAATGAACAAAGAGCTTTACCTATTAGTGGCACCAATAACAAATACACCTCGTCGCTGCTCTGCGCCATCTAACTCTATAAGTAGCTGCAGTTGCAGACAGTCAGTTCATTCTATAAATGAATGAAAAATGAATAAGTTTCTACTTTCTAAGCAGTCAGTTCTTGACTGCCTTCGCAATTAATTTACCTGATTCAGCAGCCGCTCAATAACCCATCCGCCTTCTTTCCCCCGCTTTGTTGTTAATGCATCAACCTGTCAATAAGTGAGGAAACAGCTTTAAAAGGCTATGAAAAGTAGGACACATTTTCCATGAATTTTTTTCCATGTCAGGATACCAGAGGACATGAAACCTATGTCACCTGGTTTCAAACAGTCATTTGGATACTTAAAAAGGAATTCAGTGTTTTGTATAAGAAAGAGTGCTAAATCAATTGAGACATTAGACATCAATAGTGTCAATAAGTGAAAGAAAATGCTTTAAAAGGCTATGATTTGTAGGGCACATCTTTCCATGAAATTATTTCCACACCCGGAGACATGAACCGTATGTCACCCTTGGATACTTATACGAATTCAATGTTACGTATTCGGAAAGTGTACTAAATAGTTGCAATATTTGTCACTTTTTCAAGACAATGGAGTTTATATGTGGTTCTTTTCTGAGCAAACTTATGTTCAAACATAGATAGAACTATATCCTCTATTCCTACATAAAAAATAAAAAAACACAAACGCACACATGTAGTGTCCTCGTGTCTAGATTTTTGTAGTAGACAAGTTGGGCATCATATCAGTTTCAACACCCAGCAATAATGTCGATGCTCACAAAATGTAGGTAGAAAGTTTGGTTGACTCCTGATAAGAGCATATTTATGCGACTTTATTATCTTATTTCTTTGCATTTACTTAGTTAATTTCTATTTATTTTGGTAATTTAAGTTATTTTCGTATTATTGTAGGTCTAGTTGGTAAAGATGACAATAAATAGCCAAATGGAGCAATTTGGAGCAGTTTTGGACTTGGATTGGATAGCATGCGTGGATAGCATATGGGCTGGACGTTTTTGGTGTTTAAATGGTGTTAGACATGTGCTAAACTCTGGAGAAATCAAAATTGAGGCTTGGAAAGCAAGGAATTACACAAGAAAAAGGAATCCTAGTAGAAAAGGAACATTATCTTATCTTATCTTATCCAACATTATCTTATCTTATCTCCAACTACAAGGAGGAATCCTAATCACATTCCAACACTTTCTTATTCTTAGAGTTCTAAAATAATTTAAAACGCCAAAACCTTTTCCTCTTTGGATTCAGTTGTTCCCCCTATATATATATGAAATTCCTGCAATGATTTAGGGTGTGCCGCACCTAACATTCATCCATTGAAGTTGCTGGAATTTTCAGAGTTCTTTCTATCTTTGTTTTAAGTTTCAATGTTTATTTTAGATTGTTTTTCAGTTATGATGAACATGTGTAACTAAGTTTCTTTTTAGGTAGAGGTGAATTCGAAGCTATGATCATATGTTTTATATAAATTGATTACATCTAGTTATTGTTTCATAAAACATGAAGGCGATTTACTTATCTGCTTTATAGAGAACTTATTCTTGTATGTTTATTAAAGGTGTACACTTAGTTTGCATGCAGGGATTTGATGCTAGAATATAAGAGAATTTCACCTGATCGTTATGAACTTATATTTGTAAGTAGTAAAAGTTACTAGTCATGATTGAGTTAAGTAAATTCTTGGCAGAAATATCATGCTTTTCATAGTTACGAATGTTTTGTCAATACTTATGATTTTCACAGAACTTAATGATCTTTGAGATGTATCTCTATCATGTTTTTCATAGTTAGGAAACTTGAGAAGAATAATTTAGTTGCGTCATTGAGTCCAATTCAATGAACTTAGGAAAATCTGAGAGTTAATTAGTGTTGTTCACACTTAATTTTGGGCATTGTCATTCGTGATTTATAGAAAGAATAACTGGAAATCGATTTGTATGCATATGATTCATGTGTGGAGAAAAATCCTTTAGCTATCCTTTCATCCATATTTCATTCACAACTTAATTTATTTGCTGCCATTTACTTTTGTTTTAATTAAATTCGTCCAAAATCCCCCTAGTCATTGTTTTATTGTTAGTTTAACATAGATTTCAGTTTATTAAGTTTAATTTGTGTTGGTTAGCACTTACTCGTACTACAATTGCATAATTTATAGGGTTTAATTTGTGTGTTACCACATCAACTCCTCGCCCAGTGTTGGTGGAGGTCAGAATGGAAAAAGAAATATGGAGAACCACAGCAATATCATATATCTTGTTGTAAAAGAAAATTTTTGTAATGACCTGAAATATTCTAAAGGTTTAGCTTTCTCAAAAAAAATTTGCTATGGTGATCTGAAATGAGGTTTAGCACTATGTAGGACCAACTGTTGTTAATGACACTACAATAATTCAATCCAACTTCATCATGATAATCCCGTAATCTATTCCTTTATATGATTAAATGTTCAGATGAAATGATCCAAACCTATGGAAGCCGATAGTATTAATAACATTTAATAGGAAGAGAACCACAAACCTCATCAAAGAAAAGTATACATGGTGAGCATGTCCTTGCCCGACTAAACAATGTCCGAACTGCCAACTCACTTTCTCCAACATATTTATTCAAAAGTTCGGGCCCCTAACCAGTTAAAAAAGCCATGTCAACCAAATGGATCCTCTCAAATTATGCAAAAACATACATTGAAATGTTCATTGTTACACGACCTACATTAACAAGACCATACATCAATAACATTCAATGGGAAAAGCAATGACTGACCTTAATGTGAATGAAATTTGCTCCTGCTTCATTAGCGACAGCCTTTGCTATCAGTGTTTTACCACATCCAGGAGGCCCATAGAGCAAAAATCCTGTCTCTAAATCTACTCCAAATTCCTGAAACACAAGTCATTTCAAAAACATAATTAGCCACTTGATTGCAGACTTAAATAAAACAAATAAATAGACTAAGGTACAATACAGGCAGAAATACAGTATGAAGCATTGACCCAACAATATGATACCATAGAATACTGTAAATATTCATGTATAGCATGTACTGCAATAAATTAATAAGTCTCCACCGATGGTAATGTTTAGATTTAAGTTTCTAAAAGTTCATAATGTGTTCCAGCAAGTATTACATCAAATTTCCACGATAGTTCTTTATGGTGATATTCATGTTGTAACAAAGCGTGCAATTTTTTCGATAAAGTAAAAAATAACTCATGATACTGTTTGGCATACTATTCTTATACGTTGGTTAGTAAGTTCTCAACAAAAGGCCCATCAGAACCCCCACCTAAGCAAGCTATTTCACCAAAAGAGATATGTTTAAGGTGACATGTTAGGCTCTTTTTACTTGCAAAGTGAACGGTATTGGCTTACTAAGGAATGTGACGTTATCCTGTTAATTATTGTTTTCCACTAGCCATAAATGCCGCAGAACATAATTTGAAAATGAATTATGGGGTTAATACTAACCATATACAGATGAATTATAATTTTTCTACCGAAGTATGGAGAGTTAAGCATCATTATTAAAATTTAAAAGTGGCAGAAATGGGTAAAGAAGATTCGGTTGAAACAGTGTATTCAAGAGAATATCAAGCCATTCCAAACCACATTTTTTGACAAAAATATGACTTTATTTTACAAGCAGACAACATAAGCCATTCCGAGGAGACACAAACTTGAATAAAACACAACAACAACAACAACAAAGCCTTTTCCCACTAAGTGGGGTCGGCTATATGAATCTTAGAACGCCATTGCGCTCGGTTTTGTGTCATGTCCTCCGTTAGATCCAAGTACTCTAAGTCTTTTCTTAGAGTCTCTTCCAAAGTTTTCCTAGGTCTTCCTCTACCCCTTCGGCCCTGAACCTCTGTCCCGTAGTCACATCTTCGAACCGGAGCGTCATTCGGCCTTCTTTGCACATGTCCAAATCACCGGAGCCGATTTTCTCTCATCTTTCCTACAATTTCGGCTACTCCTACTTTACCTCGGATATCCTCATTCCCAATCTTATCCTTTCTCGTGTGCCCACACATCCCACGAAGCATCCTCATCTCCGCTACACCCATTTTGTGTACGTGTTGATGCTTCACCGCCCAACATTCTGTGCCATACAACATCGCTGGCCTTATTGCCGTCCTATAAAATTTTCCCTTGAGCTTCAGTGGCCTACGACGGTCACACAACACGCCGGATGCACTCTTACACTTCATCCATCCAGCTCGTATTCTATGGTTGAGATCTCCATCTAATTCTCCGTTCTCTTGCAAGATAGATCCTAGGTAGCGAAAACGGTCGCTTTTTGTGATCTTCGCTAGATTGCTCCGGTCATTAGTGTGGATAAGTATATAAATGGATAGAGATAGGAAAGCAAACACAAGATGTACGTGGTTCACCCAGATTGGCTACGTCCACGGAATAGAAGAGTTCTCATTAATTGTGAAGGGTTTACACAAGTACATAGGTTCAAGCTCTCCTTTAGTGAGTACAAGTGAATGATTTAGTACAAATGACATTAGGAAATATTGTGGGAGAATGATCTCGTAATCACGAAACTTCTAAGTATCGGAGTGTGGTGTGTCGTCTTGACTTGCCTTATCTGTCTCATAGGTAGATGTGGCATCTTCTCTGGAAGTACTCTTCCTCCATCCAGGGGTGGTATCTTTAACTGGTGGAGATGCACAAGGTAATGTATCAATTTCACTTGAAGCTTACTTGTAGTTTCAGGCTTGGTCAAGCGCGATACAAACCATGTAGTAGGAGTCCCCCAAGTCGCCGAGCTAGGGGGTCTGCTGAAAGAGGTGACAGACAAGGTAAGCAATCAGAGCTCCGACTGATTGTTCACCTTCTCCCCATCTTGCAGCAGCATGAAGGATAAAGAGAAGAAAAATGAGAAGAGATGATATGAGATACTTTTGCTTTTGAAGAAGTAACTTTCCACAGGCTTATTCTTGAACTGAGCTGGAGGGTTTTCTGGTTTCCTCCAGAGTATAAGGCCGACTGAAGAATTTGAGGGTCAAAACAAGTCCATCAAATCTAGAGTACGTTCCACCCTGCTGATATGGGATACTTTTGCTTTTGACAGAGTAATGGATGTATCGGCACGTGTGCTGTTACGCTTGTCTCCACATGCTTCCTTGTATCCTTCGCACTTGCCCTATCTGTTCCTCAAGCAGATGCGGAATCTTCCCTGGAAACATAAGATGTTGAAGATGAGTACTCGAGAGCAATGCCAGGTAAGTAATCAGGTAAGGGGTTCCAGGCAGTCAGTTCCTGGCTGGAAGCTTGATTCCAAGTGCTGACTGATTGCTCTCTTTCTCCTTGTCTTGCAGGTAAAAACAAGGCCAAAGGAAAAGACAGGGAAAAAGCATGATATGGGATACTCTTGCTTTTAACCCTGATGATATGAGATATATTCTTGCTCTAGTATAGCTTGTTTGCAGAGGTATTATCGGGGGGAAAGAAAGCTGAATATTTCGAAAGGCTTCGTTGGGAGTGCCCTCTCAGATATGATGAAGGGTTGAGCATTTTTGCAGGTCTGCCTGTCCGTTGGGGATGGAGGTCGACATATATAGGAGTCTCCCTAACAACAAGTAGTAATGCTATTCCTTTACCCTGCTTGGTCATAGCACGGTAGTGGGAGCTGCCAGTTTCACATGTTTTAACTCTGTCAGAGCACTTTGAAAAAGTGGTCTGTGGTATCTGGCTCTCGAGATTCGGAGAACGATGCCTCTTCGATTTTTGAGAAAGCAATCATGCTGGGGGTCTGGCTCTCGAGATTCGGAGAGCAGTGTCTCTTCGATTTTTGAGGAAGTAATCATGTTGGGAGTCTGGCTCTCGAGATTCGGAGAGGCGGTGCCTCTTCGATTTTGGAGCAAGCAATCTTGTTGGGAGTGTTGTCTCGAATGTGAGTAAAGGTTGGGCATGTTTGCTAGTCTACCTTGCCACGAAGCACAAAGGTTGACACACAGGGACTTTCCAATTATCCAGCAATGGTACTGTTCCTTTACCCTCTCTTCGATTTTGAGAAAGTAGTCATGTTGGGAGTCTGGCTCTCGAGATTCGGAGGACGGTGCCTCTTCGATTTTGGAGCAAGCAATCTTGTTGGGAGTGTTTTCTCGAATGTGAGTAAAGGTTGGGCATGTTTGCTAGTCTACCTTGCCACGAAGCACAGAGGTTGACACACAGGGACTTTCCAATTATCCAGCAGTGGTACTGTTCCTTTACCCTTGTGGGTAATAATATGGTAGCTAGACCTTCAAAATTTATGTGTCTAAACTTTGTTAGTGCTGTTTCTTTGCTATTCTTTTACCTTTCTTGGTCAGAGCGATGTAGTGGGAGCTGCAAGCTTCACGTGCTCAACTTTGGCAGAGAACTTTGGCAAAGTTATCTGTGGTACCCATGAGCTATTGTTGCGTGTGGGAAGTGGGTGATTGAACAGTAAGATTCATGTGCTTTCTACTTCACCAGAAGTCTTCGACAGAATGCCCATAATTTCTGCAAAGCTGAGTGTGCGTGTGACAGGTGCTGACAAGGCTAGAAAAGTAGGTGCCTCTTCGATTTCTGAGATCGGCCCTCGTGGTCTCTGAGCAGCCCAGCTTTTGAGAAAGCGAGCGCCTCTTCGATTGATTCGGAGAACGATGCCTCATCGATTTTTGAGAAAGCAATCATGCTGGGGGTCTGGCTCTCGAAGATTCGGGGAGCAGTGTCTCTTCGATTTTTGAGAAAGTAATCATGTTGGGAGTCTGGCTCTCGAGATTCGGAGGGCGGTGCCTCTTCGATTTTGGAGCAAGCAATCTTGTTGGGAGTGTTTTCTCGAATGTGAGTAAAGGTTGGGCATGTTTGCTAGTCTACCTTGCCACGAAGCACAGAGGTTGACACACAGGGACTTTCCAATTATCCAGCAATGGTACTGTTCCTTTACCCTCTCTTCGATTTTTAAGAAAGTAGTCATGTTGGGAGTCTGGCTCTCGAGATTCGGAGGACGGTGCCTCTTCGATTTTGGAGCAAGCAATCTTATTGGGAGTGTTTTCTCGAATGTGAGTAAAGGTTGGGCATGTTTGCTAGTCTACCTTGCCACGAAGCACAGAGGTTGACACACAGGGACTTTCCAATTATCCAGCAGTGGTACTGTTCCTTTACCCTTGTGGGTAATAATATGGTAGCTAGACCTTCAAAATTTATGGGTCTAAACTTTGTTAGTGCTGTTTCTTTGCTATTCTTTTACCCTTCTTGGTCAGAGCGATGTAGTGGGAGCTGCAAGCTTCACGTGCTCAACTTTGGCAGAGAACTTTGGCAAAGTTATCTGTGGTACCCATGAGCTATTGTTGCGTGTGGGAAGTGGGTGATTGAACAGTAAGATTCATGTGTTTTCTACTTCCCCAGAAGTCTTCGACAGAATGCCCATAATTTCCGCAAAGCTGAGTGTGCGTGTGACAGGTGCTGACAAGGCTGGAAAAGTAGGTGCCTCTTCGATTTCTGAGATCGGCCCTCGTGGTCTCTGGGGAGCCCAGCTTTTGAGAAAGCGAGCGCCTCTTCGATTTCTGAGATCGGCCTTCGTGGTCTTTGAGCAGCCCAACTTTTGAGAAAGCAAACGCCTCTTCGATTTCTGAGATCAACCCTCGTGATCTCTAAGCAGCCCAGCTTTTGAGAAAGCAAACGCCTCTTCGATTTCTGAGCAGGCGCCTCTTCGATTTCTGAAGCTCCGTCGAGTGCAGATTTTTATAGGGGCTGGCATTAAGTTCCAAAGCACACTTGAATCTCCACCAGTAGAAGCTTCATTCTTGCACTTCTAAGATCTTGATTTGTCCGACCTCTTCTCTCTTCAACACCTTTGAAAATGTCTGGCCCCTCCGACCGTCGTTTTGACTTGAACCTTGTTGAAGAGGCAGCCCCGCCTTCTCCAGACAACATATGGCGCCCATCCTTCGTCTCCCCTACTGGTCCTCTTACCGTTGGGGATTCCGTGATGAAGAATGATATGACCGCTGCGGTGGTGGCCAGGAACCTTCTCACTCCCAAAGATAACAGACTACTTTCCAAACGGTCTGATGAGTTAGCTGTTAAGGATTCGCTGGCTCTCAGTGTTCAGTGTGCAGGTTCTGTGTCTAATATGGCCCAACGCCTATTTGCTCGAACCCGCCAAGTTGAATCATTGGCGGCTGAAGTGATGAGTCTCAAACAGGAGATTAGAGGGCTCAAGCATGAGAATAAACAGTTGCACCGGCTCGCACATGACTATGCTACAAACATGAAGAGGAAGCTTGACCAGATGAAGGAAACTGATGGTCAGGTTTTACTTGATCATCAGAGATTTGTGGGTTTGTTCCAAAGGCATTTATTGCCTTCGTCTTCTGGGGCTGTACCGCGTAATGAAGCTCCAAATGATCAACCTCTGATGCCTCCTCCTTCTAGGGTTCTGTCCAGTACTGAGGCTCCAAATGATCCCCCTCCGGTGCCTTCTCTTTCTGGGGCTCTACCGACTGCTGAGACTTCTCCTAAGCAACCTTTGTGAAGGCTCCCTCTTGTGTGTTTATTTTGACTCATGTATATGTACATATTTGTAGCTTATCGGGGATATCAATAAATAAGCTTTCCTTCATTTCAACGTATTGTGTTAAATACACCAAAGCCTTCTTCGCTAAGTTCTTTGAATTTTCTTTTGTTGAAGCTTGTATGTTGAAGCTTTCTGAGTGGAGCATGTAGGTTGGGGTAGTGTTCCCTTAATTTCCCGAGTGAGGAAAACTTCTCGGTTGGAGACTTGGAAAATCCAAGTCACTGAGTGGGATCGGCTATATGAATCTTAGAACGCCATTGTGCTCGATCCTGTGTCATGTCCTTCGTTAGATCCAAGTACTCTAAGTCTTTTCTTAGAGTCTCTTCCAAAGTTTTCCTAGGTCTTCCTCTACCCCTTCGGCCCTGAACCTCTGTCCCATAGTCGCATCTTCTAATCGGAGCGTCAGTAGGCCTTCTTTGCACATGTCCAAACCACCGTAACCGATTTTCTCTCATCTTTCCTTCAATTTCGGCTACTCCTACTTTACCCCGGATATCCTCATTCCTAATCTTATCCTTTCTCGTGTGCCCACACATCCAACGAAGCATCCTCATCTCCGCTACACCCATTTTGTGTACGTGTTGATGTTTCACCGCCCAACATTCTGTGCCATACAGCATCGCCGGCCTTATTGCCGTCCTATAAAATTTTCCCTTGAGCTTCAGTGGCATACGGCGGTCACACAACACGCCGGATGCACTCTTCCACTTCATCCATCCAGCTTGTATTCTATGGTTGAGATCTCCATCTAATTCTCCGTTCTTTTGCAAGATAGATCCTAGGTAACGAAAACGGTCGCTCTTTGGTATTTCTTGATCTCCGATCCTCACCCCTAACTCGTTTTGGCCTCCATTTGCACTGAACTTGCACTCCATATATTCTGTCTTTGATCGGCTTAGGCGAAGACCTTTAGATTCCAACACTTCTCTCCAAAGGTTAAGCTTTGCATTTACCCCTTCCTGAGTTTCATCTATCAACACTATATCGTCTGCGAAAAGCATACACCAAGGAATATCATCTTGAATATGTCCTGTTAACTCATCCATTACCAACGCAAAAAGGTAAGGACTTAAGGATGAGCCTTGATGTAATCCTACAGTTATGGGAAAGCTTTCGGTTTGTCCTTCATGAGTTCTTACGGCAGTCTTTGCTCCTTCATACATATCCTTTATAGCTTGGATATATGCTACTCGTACTCCTTTCTTCTCTAAAATCCTCCAAAGAATGTCTCTTGGGACCCTATCATACGCTTTTTCCAAATCTATAAAGACCATGTGTAAATCCTTTTTCCCATCTCTATATCTTTCCATCAATCTTCGTAAGAGATAGATTGCCTCCATGGTTGAGCGCCCTGGCATGAACCCGAATTGGTTGTCCGAAACCCGTGTCTCTTGCCTCAATCTATGCTCAATGACTCTCTCCCAGAGCTTCATTGTATGACTCATTAGCTTAATACCCCTATAGTTCATGCAATTTTGTACGTCGCCCTTATTCTTGTAGATAGGCACCAAAGTGCTCGTTCGCCACTCATTTGGCATCTTCTTCGTTTTCAAAATCCTATTGAAAAGGTCAGTGAGCCATGTTATACCTGTCTCTCCCAAAAGTTTCCACACTTCGATTGGTATATCGTCTGGGCCTATTGCTTTTTTTATGCTTCATCTTCTTCAAAGCTACAACCACTTCTTCCTTCCGGATTCGACGATAAAAAGAGTAGTTTCTACACTCTTCTGAGTTACTCAACTCCCCTAAAGAAGCACTCATTTCATGTCCTTCATTGAAAAGATTATGAAAATAACCTCTCCATCTGTCTTTAACCGCGTTCTCTGTAGCAAGAACCTTTCCATCCTCATCCTTGATGCACCTCACTTGGTTTAGGTCCCTTGTCTTCTTTTCCCTTGCTCTAGATAGTTTATAGATATCCAACTCTCCTTCTTTGGTATCTAGTCGTTTATACATATCGTCGTAAGCCGCTAACTTAGCTTCTCTGACAGCTTTCTTCGCCTCTTGCTTCGCTTTTCTATACCTTTCACCATTTTCATCGGTCCTCTCCTTGTATAAGGCTTTACAACATTCCTTCTTAGCCTTCACCTTTGTTTGTACCTCCTCATTCCACCACCAAGATTCCTTTTGGTGTGGGGCAAAGCCCTTGGACTCTCCTAATACCTCTTTTGCTACTTTTCGGATACAACTAGCCATGGAATCCCACATTTGGCTAGCTTCCCCCTCTCTATCCCACACACATTGGGTGATTACCTTCTCTTTGAAAATGGCTTGTTTTTTCTTCTTTTAGATTCCACCATCTAGTCCTTGGGCACTTCCAAGTCTTGTTTCTTTTGTCTTACTCTTTTGATATGTACATCCATCACCAACAAGCGATGTTGATTAGCCACGCTCTCTCCTGGTATAACTTTGCAATCCTTACAAGTTATACGATCCCCTTTCCTCATTAGAAGAAAATCTATTTGTGTTTTTGACGACCCACTCTTGTAGGTGATCACATGTTTTTCTCTCTTCTTAAAGAAGGTGTTGGCTAAGAAGAGATCATATGCCATTGCAAAATCCAAGATAGCTTCCCCATCCTCGTTTCTCTCCCCAAAACCATGGCCACCATGAAAACCTCCATAGTTGCCTGTCTCCCTGCCCACGTGTCCATTTAAATCTCCTCCTATAAATAACTTCTCCGTCTGAGCAATTCCTTGCACCAAGTCTCCAAGATCTTCCCAAAATTTCTCCTTCGAACTCGTATCCAACCCTACTTGAGGTGCGTACGCACTAATCACATTGATAAGTTCTTGTCCTATTACAATCTTGATTGCCATGATTCTATCTCCTACCCTCTTGACATCTACAACATCTTGTACCAAGGTCTTATCCACGATGATGCCAACACCGTTTCTCGTTCTATTTGTGCCCGAATACCAAAGTTTAAACCCTGAGTTTTCTAGATCCTTTGCCTTACTACCAACCCACTTAGTTTCTTGTAGGCACATAATATTTATCCTTCTCCTCACCATAACTTCCACTACTTCCATATACACAGAGATTAACAAAATTAGAAAAAACAATAGAAAATGAAAATAACAATTACCTCATAGTTCTCAGGATATTTAACACGTCTAACAATATAGCGATCAAACTCCTTCCTTAAAAGATCTAATCCACCAACATCTTCCCATTTTACATTTGGAATTGCAGAGAATCCTTCTCTTTTTGACGACGGCTGAACCACTCAACTGCTTCCTGCAGAAATGCACATGATAAGACCATTACCACGAGAATTTAATGCAAAATCAGAATAACTGGTTATTAACTCATAGGTAACTATGTAAGGCAAAATATGTGGGAGAAAAGGTATAGGTAGTTAATTTCGGAACACCTCAAAATCAGCCATAGTGATTGTGAGCTTTTCCATTTCTTCAGGCAACCATGGTTGCATCCACCACTCTTCATTGCCTTCCTCATCCATGGTATCTACCGACATATCAGTCTTCCTCTTGTGTATAATCCTTTTCATGGCAATGTTACCAGCTCTGTCAGCCAAGGCTTTCAAATCGGCCCCAACAAACCCTGGTGTCGACCTGGCTATTTTAAGAAGATCAAAAGAACCTTCAAGTTTTAGGTTGCGTGTAAGCACAGAAAGAATCTTAACCCTAGCATTTTCATCTGGAACGCCTAAAACAATCTCACGGTCAAATCGACCAGGCCTCCTTAGAGCACCGTCAACAGCATCAGGCCTATTGGTCGCTCCAATTACAAGAACATAGCCAGACTTGTTATCTGAACTTTGTGAGTTAGAATCTGCATCAGCTGATTGCACAAGCCTATGAGATTCATCCATGCAAGTCATTAGTTGTGTGACAATTCGCCTCTCCATCTCACGCTGCAAACTTTCTCTTTTCGAAGCAATTGCATCAATTTCATCAATAAATACAATTGAAGGGGCAGTTCTGTAAGCTTTAGAAAAAAGCTCTCGTATATTTTCTTCGGATGCACCTAAAATTAATGATAGCCATGGCAACTTATTACAATTTTACATAAGGAATTTCAGGAACATAAGAACCTTAACAGTATAAGATTTTTCAGCTTGAAAATTTCAGTCATTGAAACTATGAAATGAGTGATGGTAATACCTGAGACACCAGAGACGACTTCGGTGGCAGAAATCTTATAAAAGGGAATGCCGGTTTCATTGGCAATGGCATGAGCCAATTTGGTCTTGCCACAGCCGGGGGGGCCATACAACAGAATCCCAGACATTGGCCTAACTCCGAGCCACAGCGGGAGCTCTGGATGGCGAAGCGGCACAATCACCTCCATCTTCAGCTCCTCAATCACCTTCTCCATCCCACCTAAGTCTCTAAACCTCGGCCCCTCACTCCCCTTCACCTCAACCTCTCTGGAAACCGATCCCTTGGCTTCAGCTTCTCGGAATGTCTCTTGCCCCCCTCGCCCTCCATTTTCGCTCATTAGCCCAACCTTCTCGCGACCAGGAAGCTCAATTTCTACATTCTTCTCCTTCTTCTCCTCGGCCGCCTTGGGCTTCAAGGCGCTGCTGGATCCCATATAAGATGCCCGGAGGCTCGATTTCATCACATCAAACTCCGGCTCCACTTTCTCGCTGTATATGGCGTCGTCCGAGTCCGATGTCGACACCGCCCCATCCTCATCCTCCTCTTCTTCCTCATCATCATCATCTGAAGATGGACGATCACCATTGCTCTGGCGAATCCTTCTGACGTGCGCCGTCTCCATTCTCTGCAATCTCTCCTCCATCTTATTGGCCTTCCGCCTCCTCTTGGAATTGCTATGGTCGACTTCTTCATCTTCTTCGTCGTCTTCTAGGTCGCTGACATGGATTAGGGTTTTGGATAGCTTGAAGGAAGGGGAGTCTAGGGTTTGCTGGACGAACTTGGTGAAAGACTGGAGCTTGATGCGGTGGTAGTCTTTGTAATTAGTGCGAAGTTGGTAGACGATTTCGTCGAGAGAGGAGGAGCGGAGGTGCTTGAAGGTCTCCAGACGACAACGGAGAACCTTCTGCTTTTGTTCGGAGAGGGACCTCCCGCCTCCATCGAACCTTCTTCCCGTCTTCTTCATCTCTTACTTGGCAATGTTGGGTGCACAGTATCAGGGAGCCAAACCAAACTCAATTGAAACGTGAGGCGCGCTTAATTTAATTAGGGTTAGGATTTAGGTGGCCATTAAAACGGCGCAGTTTAAATGCTATTGATTATATAATTTTTATTTTTCAATAATATTTTTTATGGATTTTTCAATAATGTGTTGGTTTTTTGGACAGAAAAAAAATAGAGGAGTAATTAAGGATTTGTTTGCAATAGTTACATGTATTTAGTACAATGTTTACCTTAATAGTCAAATGATAATTGCATTAAATACACATATTCAAATGAATATTTCTTAATCATTAAATACATGTAATATTATAATCAATCCCGTAATTTAAACCAATCCAATTTAAATGATAAGATTTTAAATTTGTGGCTGAATTTTTCACGTAATATACTTTTTTTTTATTATATTGATATTTTTACACTAAGGAAAGGAGGAGATCAGCTAGACAACACAATTGGCAGCCTAATATGGTATTGAATTTATCATCCACGATATTCGAACTTAAGACTTCTCACTTCCAAATGAAAATGAATACTACCAGATTGTAGTAATGAGTGGCTTTCACGTAATATACTTTTATGAACATTATTATATTACACATTATGAGAATGGTACGATATCTCGGCTTCTTTTTAAAATTGAAAGAATTGTGTCCTCAATATATCAAAGTCACCAAATTTGTCACATATTAATCATGGAAGGAGATTCAAT